TTCTGGGGGGAAGGCAGGGACGGTTGGGTTCCAGCTGTGCGAGTCTGAGGCTTCTGGTAGGCCGGGAGCACCCAGGGTGAGCTGGCCTAGGGAACAGCCTGGGATCAAGGGCAAACAGTTTCACCTCCCAGGTGGGTGTCTCTGCCTCTCCTCAGGAGGAGAGCAAACTCCAGAGGCCAAAGGGTTCTGTCACCTGCTGGGAAGGACAGTGATCTGCATGTGTCCCAGTCCCCCCCGCTGTGGGGTAAACACCGACACCCAGGCAGCCAGCAGCCACAGGATAAATGTTTGTGCAGCGAGTGAGTGAGTGGACTGGAGCCCTAGGGTGACCAGGAGCCAGGTGTGGAGGTGCTATCCAGGGTCCCATTGGCCAGAGTGCTGGGCCTGGCCCCTGTCCAACTTATTCCCCTCCCAGCAGGAGCACGTGGGGTGGGGAGCACAGACCCTGACCCCACCCTTCCGCCTTGGACACAAAGCTCCCCCTCGGTTTCAGACTGAGGACTGGAGATGCGGGCTGTCTCCTCTCCCCTAGCCCTGCAGCCCTCAGCCCTCCCCTCTGTCCCCCCCTCCACAGCATGCCCATCTGGGCCACCTGGGCCGGCCCTGCTGCCCCTGCTGCTTGCTGGCTTGGCACTGCCCCATGCCAGCTTCCTCAGGGCACATGACTCGGTCGGTGCTGGTGGCTTAGCCAGTGTCCCAGCAATTTCCACTGGGAGTGGCTTCTATCGGCCAAGGAAGGCACTGATCCGAAGGCCAGAGAGGGTGCCTCCCAGACACGCTGAAAGCCCTAGGTTCGGAAGTAGAAATGGGGTGTTTTTGTGAAACCAAGGAAGGTCACAACCTGGGGCGATGGCCCTAGGCCGTTTACAAAGCCTGCCTCCTCCCCACCCGTTTTGGGGCAGGCAGCCTGGGATGCTGGCCAGAGCAAGCTCCCCCACACACCGCGTCCCCAACACAGAGGGAAAGGAGATGCGGGAGCCAAGAGGTGAGGGGTCAGCCGGTTCGGGTTGGGTTCGGGGCAGAAACCCCACGGCCAGAAAAGAGGGAGGGGGGCCTCGGAGGACAGAGCAGGCAGGGCAGTGACCGGCGCCTGCCCGGGTCAAAGTCACAAGTGTGGACCTCGAGAAGAGCAGGCCGCAGGCTGCCGACGCCCCTCACCCATCGGGGCAGGACGGGTGCCCCCGGGTTCCGGGGGCAGGGGCACGCTGGACGGGCACTGGCAT